GCCCTATGAGACAGGGCAAATATAATTGACCCAGAAGATAGGGCAAGTGTGTTAGAACCAGGAGATAGGGCAAGTATGATAGACCCATGAGATAGGGCAAGTATAATTGACCCAGGAGATAGGGCAAGAATGTTAGACCCGTGAGATAGGGCAAGTATAATTGACCCAGAAGATAGGTCAAGTATGTTAGCCATATGAGACAGGGCAAGTGTGTTAGACCCAGGAGATAGGGCAAGTATGTTATACCCAGGATATAGGGCAAGTGTGCTATACCCATGAGAGCAGGGTAGTGGCTAGCGTATACGCATGTGCATGTGTGATGCGACACAGGGGGCGTATGGAAAATTGCGACCACAGCCTTGCAACGAAATCATAGTAACGAGCCAACACATACAACACAGCCACACAGGAAGGGAGGCCATGAGGGAACGAAGGGCAGCCCCGGTGTCTTCCATGATCTTAGCTTCTTTGAACATACAGGCCAAGCACAGGCGCACGCAAGGTCAGGACATGGCAAACGTACAACAGACGTCACTAAGGGCTAGACATTCGGTTCAAATGGTTGAGGGTGCCATGACTACTATAGACTACTGGCTGATACACACTTGGGGTGCGGGTTCAGGACAGGGAGACTTACACTTGTATATCTCTGAGGTCCGTTTGTTGTACTTGTGGGCGTTGTTACGCATCAGTGCAAAGTCCGCCTGTTGCGTAATACAAAGACGTGCGATTGATGAATCAGATGTTGTCTGGGGATTGTCCACTCCACGAGAGAGGTGTCTGCAATACTAACCAATGCGAGGTTGTATGTGTACATGCGACGGCAAGGGGAGTGCCTGCAAGACTAACCAACGCGAGGTTATATGTGTACATGCGAAGGCAATGGATACGCCAGGTGACGAACGACGTAGAGCTATACCATCGCTGGGCCGAAAAGGCGCGTACAACTATACCTACAAACGGAGCGCAGAGAACTCTTAAAAAACGCAGTCGTACTGCAAGTCATTTGGTAAGCAACAGATATGTACACTCAGGTATCCAACACATCGATCTGGAGCTAAAGATGGGCGCGGGGGGGGGGGGGGGTGGTTGCTTGGGGCCTTCAAGGAAACGACATCGCAGTCAGAATATAAGGGAGACCAGCAACGGACGGATAAGACGAACTCTAAGTTAATCTGTACAACAAGACACGGGGAAGACACCGGTCCCACAATGGGGGATGCGAGAACATGTCAAGCAGGCGTAGCATATCATACTCTCAATAAGACTGTACTGGAGTAGGTATACAGAGTGTGTGCGCTGACCTTCACACAACAACATGATGCACACAATACCATCTCGTCGGATACAACAGATACGTGACATGCAGTGTGGCCGTGTGCACGCGCTTTTGCGACTGGGCTGTGCGGGATATGGGTCTCACCTGCAACTCCTCAACCGTTGGGTACAGTCCTGAGTTAATTTTCTGCTCAATGTCCGCGAGACATATGGGCGTGTCGATCAATTGGTAGTAGTCTGGGTACCTGGAGAATACAAGCAGGACCAGGCCATCTTAGACCTGTGATACTTCGCCTGGTACTAGGATCCTTCGAGAGGTCGTTTATGCACACACTTGCTTGCCAGACGCAACCTGGCTTTAGGTATAAGCTGATACATATCCTTACACAGGTATAATATTGGGGTACACAGTCCTCTACCGTGGCGAGTGCGTGCACGCATGTAACATATATAAATACATATATATATAAATATACATAACAAACATACAAACACACCTGGGCCACGGCGACCGTGACAGGGTTGAACTCGCATCACGAAAAGAATATTCCACGACACGTATATACACTACAACACACACATATGTATATTAATGCAACGTCAGGCAATATATATATATATATATATATAGATATATATATATATATATACGTGATA